AAAAGGTCATGTAAAGTTTTTTTTTCAAAAACAGTCCATTTGTGTAAAATTTTTGTATTTTGGCAGGTTTGACCGTTATATACAACACTATTTACAAAATTGTCTCCGTTGGCTTTTACTAAACTATTGATAATACATAACCCCGACCCCTTTGCGTAACAGGGGTTTTTTCCTAGTTTGTCATTATTTCACAAGGATAATATCATTGTAGCACAATGAAGTTTTGGGTTTAGTCTGATTTGACCATTTATGTCTTTTTTGCGCAATAGGCCAACTAAGTTTTACCGTGCATGTCAATTAAGTCATTATCGTTAGTTTTTAACAATTCCTATGTTAACTAGTTATCAAGATTACATGAATGGCCATACGATTTAAATGTCTTTCGTAGTTGGTCCTTTACCAGCTATGGTTTAAATTACACGACCAAAAATGCCACATTTATGAAACTTTAAGGACCAAAGTGTAAATTTCTTATCTTTTCCCCATTAAATCGTCTTCTAGGTTACCCGAATCAAATTCCCTTTTCTCATCAGTCAAGAGGACATACCTGTGAGATTTCTTTAACATCATCAATGAAAAGCATAAGCAGAAACTAAAAAAAAATCCTAGAGACTATCTCGATTGTCCATTGATTCAAACAACCTCTTAGCAGTAGCGTCACTTCCATATTTACTACGTAAAATTAGGAAACAATTAGCTAAAGGAAAATTACAAGCAAACCCGTATTAGATTGCAGAAGCATGAACAGAGTGGATGTGGGTATATTCTGAAACGCCTGAAAGCATGGCTAATATGGTGACTGAACTTGGCTTAATTCCTTCACACTGCATCTGCTTACACATTTGAAACGTGGTATTTACGTTCACTAATCGAGCATAACACCCGATAATGGCAGTCCAGGGAACATCACTTCTCTCAGGCATAATATCGAACATTTTGTTGGCAACATCGGTGTACCCAAATTTAGCTTAAAGGTTAATCAAGGAAGCAACAATGTACACATCATATGAGTACCTATTAACGATGAAATGTTCTATCTCAACCACCATCGATCCATCAAACCACCATCATCGACTCCTTCACCCTACCTGAACCATTGTACACCACGTAGTGATCACCATCGCCCCGCCACCATCAGTGTTTCCTTGTATCGATCTGAAGCAAATAAAAAATAGAAAGGTAAGGGGAGCCTTGGGATTATGAATAACACACATGGTGATCAATCGATCTAGAGAAAAAGGAAAAACTGCAATCGATTTTAAGAGAGAGGGAGAGAGAGAGAGAGAGAGAGAGAGAGAGAGAGAGAAAAGAGAGAAATAGAGGTTGTAATCGTATCAAGAAGGGTAAATAGGGAGGGCATACCTGTAATCGATAGTGGTTGGGAGCAAGGAAGGTTTTGGTGATCGATTAGAGGATCGTCTGAACTCCTATCGATCGAAGCAAGAACAGGAAGAAGTGTGGGTTCGATTTCTAGTTTGATGTTGTGATTTTTGGTGGGGTGTGATCAATTTTGAAGAGGAAAGAACGAGACACAGAGAAGTGTGATCGATATTGAGAAAGGGGTTTTGGATAGTTACAAACAAGATTAAAGGTTTATTGGGATGGGGCTATGTTGTTAGAAGATTGGTGATGCCGGTGAATAATTGGTTAAGGGACCAACTACGAAAAAAATAAATCATAGGGACCATTCGTGTAATTTAGAATAATAGGTTAACAGCGTAATGGTTAAAAACTAACAATAATGGCTTAATTGACATGCATAGTAAAAGTTAGATGGCCTATCGCGCAAAAAAGACATAAATTGTCAAATCGGACAAAACCTAAAACTTCATTGTGCTAGAGTGACATTATCCCTTATTTCACATGGATAGGAATATAGCTAGAAATAAAAGTAGGAGATATTTAATTTCCCTTATAATAAAGAAATAAAATCGCCTACCCATACATGTTTTTTCTTAAAAAGACAAAAATATAAGACTTCTCATATTCACAATCAAACCAACCCAACTATCCATTAACAAATTGATTTATCTCTCTTCCACCCACACAACCCAACTAAACCCAACTTTTCACACTCATTAGCAACCCAACTCAAACCAATTTTTTTTAGATTGTCTTCAATGATTTGAAAAGACAACAAACATCATAGACTGTCTTGAACAACGACATCAAGATCCTCAATCAATTTTCGATGAGTTCATGCACACCCATCTTAATCGTGAAGATACGGTATTTGATGGTTGTTCTATGACTGTTCCCCGGCACCGATGACGTTCTCAAGCATGAGATTCTAAGTAAAGTGAGGATTTTGTGTCATCTAAGTTTGAGGGGTGTAGTCTGTAACGTCCTAAAATTTAAAACCAAAAAATTCGTTTTCATAATAATAAAACCATCAACCAAAACGTGTTCACGAGACCATAAAGGAAAATCAGAGTATGTCAATCAATCATCTCAATACATCATAGTCAAATAAAACGGAAATTGTGGTGTGTGCGATGTGATCATCTCGAGCTCTTCCCTTCGATCCGGGAGTACCTGAAATATAAACTGAAAACCGTAAGCACAAAGCTTAATGAGTTCCCCAAAATACCGCATACCATACATATCTGCTAGCTCAAAGGCTGTGTCGGGTCTATTTCACCCTCGTATCTATTTCACCCTAGTCTATTTCACCTCATGCGTCAGCCCAAAGCCGTACCGAGTCTGTTTCAACCTCGGGTCTATTTCAACCCCGAGTCTATTTCAACTCATATGTTAGCACTAGGTTGTATTGGGTCTATTTCACCCCACATACATATAGAAAACATGAACACAAGCATGTAACACATACAACAGGAGTCACAAAGACTACAAGCACATAACATATCCTAGTGTCCTACGGTATAGTCGGCAAGCTCACATCAGTCTGTTGTCAGTCAAACAAATGATCGGTTACTGAACCAGAAAATTCTCACGCTAATCAATCAAACAAAACCCCAATTAATATATGGGCTATAACCATAACTGGGAATCTAGTTCATTTGTCCAACACCCAGGGTAAAAGACCATTTTCACTATTCCTCACTTGGCCCAATAAATCGAGGACCAACCCAATGGCACCAAAAACCCAATATGGCCCAAATTCCTAAATGATACCCAAAGCCCACCATAGGCCCGAATCCAAGAAGGCCCAAAACCTAACAATGGCCCAAAGTCAGAAAGACTAGTGGCTCAACAAGGCCCGAAACCCTAATAGTCCAAATATGGCCCAAACCACAATAGTCAACAAAAGTCAACAACTATTGAGTACGCCCAACGTACTCAGACTTACGCCCGACATACGCCACCTTTGGCCAGTACGTGTTGCGTATGAGCTGGGTATGCCCAACGTACTCCACAACAACCAAATCTCACCATTAAGTGCTTAATTGGTTAAGTCACTAAGTCCACTTCTCATAGTCCTAAATGATGTCTTAACACGTAAAGTTGGCAACTTTACTCCTTTGCATGTCTTAATGGGACCCAATACTTGTTTTTGACTATTATAACTCATGAATGGTCCAATATAACACATCAAGGTTGCATTTTTATGCACAAGGGATCTCAAAAATGCTAAGATCTACCATCCCTAGCTTCTAGAGTAGCTCATACTCACAAGCACAAGTTAAAGGACCATAAAAAGCACAAAAACAAGCCTTAACTAGATCTATCATAATGAATCATCAAGTTAAGAGTTTTATACCTCCAAAAGCTTTCCAAGTTGGTGATGATTCTGGACCCACAAGCTCTAACCACACCAATGCAACTTCTAAGAGCTCTCAAAGATCACTTCCAAGCTCAAAACACTCAAATGGCAATTAGGTTTTCGTTCACATGGTTTGGAGAGGCTAGTCATAAGAAGGTCCAAGGGCAACTTAAGGTGTTTAAATAGCGCTCAAACCCTAAAAATTAGGGTTTATCCCAGCTGGCTGTACGCCCTGCGTACTCCACGTACGCCCCGCGTTTGTGGATGCCTCCGTGACTAAGTGTTCGACCCAGTACGCCCAGCGTACTCCTAGTATACGCTCAGTGTACGGGCCAGGGACCAAAATTAAGGGCAAAAAGGGAAAATACCTGAAATACAAATGTTACAGTTCTCCCCCACTTGAATTAGACTTCATCCTCGAAGTCTGTCGCTGCGAACAATTCTGGATAATGCTCCCTCATCTCGACCTCAGGCTCCCACGTCCATTCTGAACCCTTGCGGTGTTGCCATTGCACCTTTACTAGATCCACCGACTTGTTCCGCAAAGCCTTCATCTTCCTGTCAATGATGGAAATCAGTCTCTCAATATAATCTAGGCGTTCATCCACCTCAATATCCTCAAATGGAACCACCACGGAATCATCAACCAAACATTTTCGCGGCTGAGAGACGTGAAACCTGCTATGGATCTGACTAAGCTCATCGGGTAGATCCAAACGATAAGTGATGACGCGCCTCTTAGTGTGGGCCAGGAGCGGGATCCCCAGGTCGAAGGATCCTCCAGCTAGCCTAGCCTGGATGCCCAGTAAGAGCACTAGCGTCCGGGCGTTCCATCAGGGCGGGACGCCCGCGCGAGAAGTCTGGCCTCGTTAAGAGCATCCCTGCTACAGGAAAAATACAACGGCTCCAGGCGACAAAGAGTATGCCCAGAGCATTAACGCCTGAGCCAATCGTTGGCCCCGACACAATAGGGGACACAATTAGCCAATCAGAGTAACAAATTATGTCGGAACTGCAGTTCCTGTTCCCCGTACGGAACAACGAGGATCCTTAGTATAAAAGGGCCTCCGCCCTACCTTGAGAAGTAAGTGATCTCTCTCGGTTCTCATCACTCTCACCCAAATACCTCCCACTGACTTAACCGTCGGAGCGTCTTCCCGGGACCCCCTCCCAGGAAACGGCTGACGGCCTTTCTTGTTGTGACTTTGCAGATCCCTCCGACGATAGTGAACACCTTGAGAGCCGATGGTCGGAACCAAGGTCGCATCATTTGGTGTCATCCATTTGTGTGACAAGCGATACACAAAACCACACTCCGGTTCACCCCCAGGATGACGAACGAAACCGCCGGTGAACCCTCAAGGCAACAAAACAGCTCGATACGACCAATGACGTCACTAGAGCCGGTTGTCACACCTGTGACACCGGCAGACTGTGTCACAATAGTCAACGATGTACCGCCATCCGGCGGCCAAACACCGTCGTTAGCGACGACACAACCCCAAAACACAACCCATAACCAATACCTGACGTCCACCCTCAGCACCACAACACTGCCAATCTTCCACCCCATCAGCGGACAAAATACCCTCAACCAAGCCCCGTTACAGCCTATTTTCCAGGAAATCAACAACTCACAACAAATCGCGCAAATGTTGTCGTCGATAACATCTCAAACCACCAATGGAGCGTTGTCTTCGTCGCAAACACCGACGCTCCAACCAACATGTAACAACCCAAAAATCAAGGGTAAAAAATTCATTTTTAATATAGCCAAAACATAGATATCATTTATTTCAAACATTCCAAAACATCACTAATTAAAACATCCATGGTTGATCCACAACCATCAAGATGCTAACTTTATGGCCTAAGAACCTCAGAAACATCAAGAGAAGCAACTCCTAACTTCTGGAGTGGAAGATACTCACTAGATCTCATCATAGGACCAAAAAGGGACCCAACCTCATAAAGACTAGATCTAAGCATACAAGAAGCAAGTTCCAAACTTTATACCTCAATGAAGCTGGAAATGATGTGAGGAATTTAGATCTACAAGTTCTCCTTTGATCAAAGCTCCTTCCCCCAAGCTCTTCTTCTTCAACTTTCACCAACACACACAAGAATGTCAAATCTCTTCAAGAGGGGCTAGGGTTTCGAAATGGGACTCAAAGGGCTATGGAGGTTGAGAAATGAGAGGGTCAAGGTTCATTAAGTTGTATAAATAAGGTCCAAACCCTAAAATTTAGGGTTTGTCCCCTGCATGTGTACGCCCAACATACTCCAATTTTTTCGAAAATGGCAAAACTGCCCCTTAGGGACCAAATCTGCTAAACATTTACATACCAAAGGTCAAAAATGAAAGTACCTTAAATCGGGTGTTACAATAAGGACAAACTCATGGAAGTGGAATTGAAAGAGGATAATTAGTTAAAGTTGCATAATGGTATACTTTATTCTTCTCTTTATGCATATTAGAACCGTGAAACCATTCTTCAGGGACTATCCCACCAAATTTGCAATGTTTTTTGGCACATTTTCAAACTAATGTTTCCCGTCTGTTTCGTGTAAGGATTTGGTTCCATAAAATCATTGTTAAAGGCATTTAAGAGATATGATTAACAACAAATTGCTTAATTAGACTGTGTAAAGTCAAACCTTATATTTTTTATAAGATGAAGTACAAACAATAAAACGACATGAGACACATAAAAGGATGTGAACCTAAGATTAGAAATATTAATGAAGCAACAAGATTTAAGCTTTGCATACATTACAATTGGGTTTAGGGTTAAAGGCTTGTTTATGGAAACATTGTTTCATCTTTTTCCCAATTTATGCAACAAAGTGGTTTTTTAGTCGACATATGCAACCACGTTTCATTCTAGGATCAAAATATGCAACATTTTACTTGTAACATGTTTAACCATTTAAAACATGGTTGCATATTAGTGTTAGTTGTCTAAACCGATAAAAATGTGAAACATTGTTGCAAAAATTGGTAAAAATGTGAAGCATTTGTAACATAAATTGGTAAAAAAAACTAAAACTTTGTTGCATAAATAAACCATTTGACCACTTCCATATTATGAAACATGGTTGCATATTTCATTTGTAAAAACCTTTTTTTTCTTTGCATAAATTGAGAAAAATATGAAACATTATACACAAACATTTAATACTTATAATTATACGGATGGAAGATTAGATAGCGAGTAGAAGCGAAACATGAATAAATGTGACTTCTATAGATAGAAATGAGTGAATGTGCAAGTCATTATACCTCATCTAGCCTACGTGGAAAACAAAGGAATAAAATCTATACCGAAAATAAAAGTTATTATAAAAATATGTAAACCTCTATTATGTGCATCTTTAGAAACTAATCAAAGAACTCAAATGACAATAACTGAATTTAATCTCATAAGCTAACAATTAAACAAAAGTAGATAACATGCATGCCAAATAAAATTTATTATAAAATCTTTCTAGTAAGACATTATGGCCTTAACTTACTTGTCTACATATTCTTAAAAGCTAGTTCATTATCAATATTGAGCATTTCTTTAATCATAAGTTAGCCCATAATTACTTATTTCTCCAGATTAACTTCAATATCAAACAACATATAGTACGAGGAAGATAGAATCACCTACTTACTACTTACGTGATTATGATGTTCTTGAGCAAACTAGTCGGTGCGACAGCTGGCAAAGAAAATGAAGAATTAGACGTTTGATGGCGTTATCAAAATTGAATGCACACTAATCATGTGCTCCACGTAAACATCAACTAAAAATAGATATTTCTAATTTTAAGCCACTACGTAAGCGTGCAGATAACGCAATGAATTTCGCATCTACGACAAAAATACAGCAAGTTGTTTTAAAATTTTCTATTTATATTTGTACTTTTAAATTCACCAACTTATCCCTACCCTCACTAAAATATTTACTTCATTGAAATGGAGTTTATAGTTGTACTAACATGTAACTAAAGTATTTAGAAATACAATAATTAACACATGTGATGAACACACAAAGAAAGAATCATCAAACAAAGAAAAGCATCAAGTATCAAATATATGGAAAAAGGAAACCAATTAATAAGAAGGTAACATGTGAGGGGGGGGGGGAGGAAAAAGTATGAAGGTAAATAATGTACAAATATTAGATACGAGGAATAAAGTTGAAAGTAAAAAAGGGACAAAAGTAAAAAGAAAACAGATACAAACAATAAAGTTAAAAGTAAAAATGAACAACCATGAGATGGTAAAAATAAAAAGAAAAACATATACATGCAATGAATCTAAAAAAGTAAAAAGGGGAAAAAGTAAAAAGATAAATAATGTATTTTAAACATATACAAGCAATAAAGTTGAAAGTAAAAAGTTGACAAACGTAAGAAGGTAAATTTTGTACGAAAAACATATATATACATATGCAAGAAATAAAAAAGTAAAAATAAGACAAAAATAAGAAGAAAGCAGGTACAAATAATAAAGTTGAAAATAAAAAAGATAAATATTATATAAAAAACAAATATAAGTAATAACATTGAAAGCAAAAACGGAACAAATGCAAGAAAGCAGATAGAAGCAATAAAACTGAAAGTGAAAATGGGTCAAAAGTAAGAAGGTAAATATTGTACTAAAGCAAATACAAGTAATAAAACTGAAATAACAAGGGACAAAAGTAAGAATGTAAATATTATATGTAAAACAAATATAAGAAATAACATTGAAAACAAAGATATGACAAAAGTAAGAAGAAAGCAATAAGAGCAATAAAGTTAAAAGAAAAAAATGTGAAAAAATAAGAAGGTAAATATTATACGAAAAGTAAATACAAGCACTAAAGTTGAAATTAATAAGGGGAAAAACAGCAACAACCAATAAAGCTAAAATTAGAAAAGAGACAAAAGTAAGAAGAAACATGTACAAGGAATAAACTTGAAAGTAAAAAGAAACAAAAGTAAGAAAGTAAATATTGTACGAAAAATAAATATAAGCGATAACGTTGAAAACAAAAATGGGTCAAAGGTAAGAAGAAAGCAGCTACAGACATTCACATTCAGACAATAAAGTTGAAAGTAAAAAGTGAATAAAAAGTAAGAAGAAAGCGAGCACAAACAATAAAGTTAGAAAGTAAAAAAGGAGACAAAGGTAAAAAAAATTAAATATTATATGAAAATAAATATAAAAAATAACATTGAAAACAAAAACAAGACAAAGGTAAAAGAAAAAAACAGATACGAGCAATAAAGATGAAAGTCAAAAGGGGACAAAAATAAGAAGGTAAATATTATACTAAAGCAGATACAAACAATAAAGTTGAAAGTAAAAAAACAAAATAGAAGCTAAATAATTTACGAAAAACATATTCAAGCAATAAAGATTAAAATGAAAAGTTAGACAAACATAAGAAGGGAAGGAAAAAATGAGACAAAAACAAGAAAAAAGATACAAGCAATAAAGTTGAAAGTAAAAAGGACACAAGTAAGAAGATAAATATTGTACAAAAAACAAATACAGTAAATAAATCTGAAAGTAATTGGAGGACAAAAGTAAGGAATTAAAATCAATTACAAACAATAAAGCCAAAAGGTAAAAAAAACGGACAAAAGTATAAGAAGGAATTAGGTATAAGAAATACAGTTGAAAGTAAAAATAGAACAAAAGTAAGAAGGAAAATGGTGTATGAAAAAATAAATAAAAACAATAATGTTGAAAGCAAAAATACAACAAAGGTAAGAAGAAAGCATATATGAGCAATAAAGTTGAAAGAAAAAATTGACAAAAGTAAGAAGGTAAATGTTGTGTGAAAAATATATATAAGCAATAACGTTGAAAGAAAAAATAAGGAAAAAGGTAAGAAGAAAGCATATACGAGCAATAAAGTTGAAAGTAAAAAAGAGAAAAAAAAAAAGGTAAATATTGTATGAAAAATAAAATAGGCAATAATGTTGAAAGAAAAAATAGGACAAAGGTAAGAAGAAAGAAGATAGGAGTAATAAAGTTAAAAGTAAAAATGATGAAATTAAGAGGATAAATATTGTATGAAAAATATATATAAACAACAACAATGAAAGCAAAGATAGGACAAAGGTAAGAAGAAAGTAAATACGAGCAATAAAGTTGAAAGTAAAAAGGAATAAAGGTAAGAAGATAAATATTGTACTAAAGCAGAAACAAACAATAAAGTTGAAAGTAAAATGGGACAAAAGTAAGAAGATATAATGTACGGAAAGCATATAGAAGCACTAAAGATGAAAGTCAAAAGTGGACAAACATAAGAAGGTAGCTACTATAGCAATATGCCTATATATAAAACAATAAGACAGTAAAAAGAGGAGTATATATATATATATATATATATATATATATATATATATATATATATATATAAGATTGAAAGTAAAAAGAGAACAAGTACAAGAAAGCATATACACGCAATAAAGTAGAAAGTAAAAAGGAGACAAAAGTAAGAAGGTAAATATTGTAGAAAAACAAATACAAACAATGAAACTATATAGGGGATAAAAGTAAGAAAACAAATAACAGCTACAAGAAGTAAGGGCATTCACGATGCATTGAACTCCATAGGGTTCAATCTATCACATCATATTTCTACATTTCATATAACTCCATGAAAGATTTCCTACAATGCGTTCAACTTTATAAAGTTCAATAAAACATTACAAAGGCTAACTTATAGTATTTATTTAAGAAAGAGAAAATTTTCATTTTTTCCATTGAAGAGTTCAATGGCCATTAAACTCTTTTGGCCTAGTTGTATCAAGGATTTTGAAAATGTATGTCTCCCTGAACGGGTTGAGGGTGCAAGTCCCGTCGTGGACAAAATGAGTAGTTTAGGAGTAGAATTTAGTGTGTCTAACATTGTGTTAGCCGTTCAAAAAAAAAATCTCAAAATCCATTGAATGTCAATGTGTCATCTCACAATAGTAGAGTTTAATCCATTAAATGACAACTAGGTTTGTCACCTCATTCAACTATCTCATTGAACTCACCATTGTGAATGCTCTATAGCTGAAAGTAAAAAAGTGGACAGCAGTAAGAAGGTAAATACCGTACGAAAAACACTACAATACAGGGACAAAACATAACTAGACGCACGAGGTGGAATAACAATTAGGCGTTATAAAACTTCCATCTACTTTGGCTTATGGGCTTAACAAGCATTTTTAGTAATAGTATATGGTAAATCACAAAACTTAAATTCATTACCTTAATTAGAAATAAGTGAGTTGAATATTGTCAACAACATTGTCGGCGAGAAAGGCGAGAAATCCAGCAAGCAATATTGATCCTTCATACCACATTTGCTTGCACGTAGCTTGCCTCATTTAACGATTCACTCAATGCACCAAAATCTTCCACCTAAGCCCATTGCCATGTCACCGTCCATGTCATCATCATCTTCAACAAAACCTCTACCATTTTCTATTTAAAGCACACCCTTCAATCTTCCTCACTACCCTCATCCTCACCCATCTCCTAAGTCCTAACTCCTTCCTTCCTTCCATTTCACCATGAGAAACATTTTTCGCACAGAGCCCGATGTCTTATCAGCCTATGATTTCACAGGCAGTTTCACCGATGTCTGGCGGCATATACGCGTGTCAATGGTGATGCCGCCATTGACCGCCGCCATCTGTGTTTGTGCTGTCATGTCTTTGATGATGTTCGTTGAACGTGTGTACATGACTATTGTTGTTCTTTTGGTGAAGTTTTTGGGAAAGAAAAAGTACACTCAGTATAAACTAGAAGCACTCAAAGAAGATCTTGAACAAAATAGAAGCTACCCCATGTTGTTGGTTCAAATACCTATGTTCAATGAAAAAGAGGTATTCTACACATGTTTTTTGTACACAATATTTATGTGTAAATTAAATTAATTTTACATGTTGCCATTTTTATTTTCTTTACAGGTCTACAAGCTGTCAATTGGAGCTGTATGTTCACTTAGATGGCCAGCTGATCGTCTCATAGTTCAGGTTCTTGATGACTCCACCAATGAAGTCCTAAGGGTACCCCTATAACTACACTTATAGTTCAAGACTAAATTACAAAAATACCCCCGTGCTTTTAGATTTTCACCTTGTTTAGCAACTTCAACCGTTTTTTCAAAATTACACGGACCGAAATTGATATGAAAGTTTAGATAAGGACAAAAAAATGAAAAGGGTTTCGATTTTGGATTAAGAATGGTAAAAATGAGAAAGTACAGGGACCGTTTTTGTAATTTACTCTAGTTTCAAAATAGTGATGAGTTAGCTATATAGAAAGTAGAAAGAAACTTATTAGTTGTATACAGGCACTGGTGGAGTTGGAATGTAAAAAGTGGATTCAGAGGGGGGTAAATGTGAAATATGAGACAAGAAACAACAGAAATGGATACAAAGCTGGTGCTCTTCGTGAAGGATTAAAAAAAGATTATGTATTCGATTGCGAATTTGTTGTCATATTTGATGCAGATTTTCAACCAGATGAAGACTTTTTATGGAGATCTGTACCTTACCTTCTTGAAAATCCAGAATTGGCTTTGGTTCAGGCTCGATGGAAATTCGGTAAAAGGGTCACTCATTTCTTGAATATTTACCATTTTGGCACTGAGATATATTATTATTATTACTAAAAATAAATAAGTTGTTTGTAGTAAATGCTGATGAATGTTTAATGACTCGACTCCAAGAGATGTCACTCGCCTACCATTTTGCTGTTGAACAAGAAGTCGGGTCTTCAACTTGTCAATTCTTTGGATTCAATGGTAAGTTATTGTTTATTTATTTTATTTGACAGGTGGAAAATAAGTTTTTAATTTTTATAATTTTTTTTTATATAAAATTAGGAACTGCGGGTGTGTGGCGTATAAGAGCTATTGAAGATGCTGGTGGCTGGAAAGATCGAACCACAGTAGAAGACATGGATCTTGCTGTTAGAGCAAGTCTAAAAGGCTGGAAATTTGTCTTTGTGGGTGACTTAGAGGTGAGTAAATCGTATCATTTCCAATATTTCCAGTATTTCCAATATTACCCTTTTCATGAATTGTTACGATGATTACATATAGGTGAAAAACGAACTCCCGAGTACTTTCAAAGCGTATAGATTTCAACAGCATAGGTGGTCATGTGGTCCAGCTAATCTTTTCAGAAAAATGACAAAAGAAATCATCTTTTGCGAGGTAAATTTCAAGAAACCTTTTTAATTACCTTAATACCCTTGAGTTTTTGAGATAAAGATTCAAACTTTATGCAGAGGGTATCCATCTGGAAGAAATTCCATGTCATCTATGCGTTCTTTTTTGTGAGGAAGATAATCGCACATTGGGTCACCTTTTTCTTTTACTGTGTCATCATCCCAGTCAGCATCATGGTTCCTGAAGTCCATCTCCCAAAACTCATAGCCATATACGTTCCAGCTACAGTTACAATCTTAAACTCCTCATGCACCCTAAGGTATATCACAAAATGACCTTTTTACCCCCTTTAGATTGATCATCAATTTACCATTTTGCCCTTACAGGTCATTGCACCTTCTTGTGTTCTGGATCTTGTTTGAAAATGTCATGTCATTTCATCGATCCAAAGCAACAATTATTGGACTTTTGGGAGCTAATCGAGTCAATGAATGGGTTGTGACTGAAAAACTAGGAAATGCAACAAAGCCTAAAAGTATTGTGAAGCCATTGAAGAAATCACGTTCGCGATTCGGAGAAAGGTATTGTAAAATTACGATTATACCCTTTGTGTATATATGATTATATGCTAATATTTTGATATGGTAAAAAAACAGGCTTCACTTCTCGGAGTTGATAATGGGGTTGTTTCTTCTGTATGTGGCTATTTATGATATGATGTTTGGGAAAGATCATATGTTTGTTTATCTGTTGCTTCAATCGGGTGCTTTCTTTGTTATAGGAGTTGGGTATGTGGGAATATCTGTTTCAAATTAGAGTGTCACACTTGTTTTTTTTAATGGATTTGAGTTTTTAAAGTTGAAGGGATGTTTGTAAGTGGTTGAGATAAGGGGATTTGGTTGAATGAGGTGGAAGAGAAGTAATACAGATGGCGGTGTGATTTGTTTGTGTATTCCTGAATAAAGTTATTAGATATCTGAAGGTGCATGACACTCTACAATAAATGTATCCTGAATAAAGTTGTTATAATATATGAATTTATTCGTTCATTTGCATGTTTTTATTGGTGGTAGGAAAGTTTTATTGAATGATTGGTTAAATATCGGGTAACTTGTTAAAGATTTGATTCTCATGATGGTTTTTGTTAATAGTTTGTTTATCAATATTTGATTTGATGATCTTATGAAACAAGTTAGGATATCTGTTATTGATTATGGAAGTATGTTTCTTAATGAGAAATGTAAAGTGTTTATGATCATAAATCTATAAGAATCTTGCAACATTTTGTTAGATTAACATCACAAATCAAAGGTATAAATGTCGTTTTTTGTATCCAATCCAACATTACAACCACATATTTGAATGCTACTTGTGACAAAAAAGAGTTTTTTAGCACAAACTAGTGTCAAGTTATGATGTTAATATTAGAATTAATGTGGAAGAAAGGTCTTAAAGAAAGTATATATAAAACAGGATGACATTGGATCTTGATTTGATTTAGTTTCCATTTTGTAATCTACCAATGTATATGAATTGAGATAATTACCTCTCAAGAAAACCAGATAAATACTCTTCTGAAACTGACATAAGGAAACTCTGATCTTGTCTTGTCCTTTTCATAGATCAATAGTATTCTTTCCCTGACAATACGAACATTGAGATAAGTATATAATTGTATTTTACACATAAAGAACAGAGATTATGTCGAGCTTATTTCAAATCATATAATATTTTGGGTTGAAGCTAATTTTATCCCCTTTCAGTAATTTTGGCCCAAAAACATTTGAAAAGAGATGATAGTGTGATTAATTTTTGTTCTATGTAAATTAGAATGAGGTGGAGATAATGTGATCAGTAAAATAGACATGGACTCATATTGAAGTATTTTTAAGAAAAGTGGAAATATTCACAAGATATAAATGAGAATAAGATGTTGAACATGACAATGGTGCTTCAAAGGAATAACCTTAACAATTGAGCAATTAACAGGTGATGCCAGACTCGCTCCTTCTGCCCTATTCATCTGATGATCGATTTATGCGGAGCAATTGAGCACAAAGACGGCGATTTTCACGTATAACTCAGAAGAGTGAGACTGTGTATGTGATTTTAAGAGATAAATTGTTGAATAGGGCGATGATGATGATGATGATGACATGGAAGGGTGAAACAGAAGGAGACGGGGGTCGGAGTGGTGGGTGCTGAAGGATAGAACTCCACCTCAGGTACTCAGGTTGCGGTGGAGCTGACATGTCAAGGTGTGGGAACACAAGCCGCCCGGAAAATTCCCCAGAGGCCTCGCACTGTAGATGGTCACCGCCGTCAAAAGTTAACTCACCGCCAGTGAAATGGTCGCTACACTGTCTCTCAATTTTTATATATTTTCCTAATAATTATATAAAAATAATCCAAGACAAAATGCAAAAATGTCCATATGGTATGTAATTTTTTCGGTATATGGTGTAAACCATTATATTTTTTTTTAATGGGAAAATGACTTAAAAAGGTAACGAAGTTTCAAAAATGTACAAGAAAGACCATTGTTTTTTTTTAGTACACAAAATATCATTTTACCGGCTATTGTAGGTTACCCGGTTTTCAAGTGTTCAAAAAATATCATTGTTGTTTTTTTAGTACAAAAAATACCATTAATGTTACTATTTGTACACGGAATACCAACGAAGTACACATATGTTCAACTAAAACATTGTGGTAACCAGGTATTTCAGGTAAATGAGAAAATGACTTAAAAGTGTAACGAAGTTCCAAAATGTTTAAAAATATCACACTTTTTGTTAACTGTGTTGTTGTCGGATTATATAGAACACAATTACCGGGGATCATGAACCGTCATATCAGTTCACAACAATTGTGCAAATCTCTTTCATTCCTTCACTCGATCGTTCTTGTGGTAACAAGAGAAGTAAGTGGGTAATAACATTAGGTAAACATTCTTGCTTCCCGATCACATTATATGACTCAAACCTAAAACATATATACGTTATATAGATGCACATATTATACATCAAGGTTAGCCGTTCATTAGTGTTGCGGCACAAGAGAGACACAAAGGAGAAACGAGTGTGACGTTATGTCATGAGAATTCCTAAATATGGATTTAGATACAAACTGATTGAGTGATAGGATGAAAGATAGTACACAACTGGTGTGAACCGGTACGACGGTGACTAATCTCCGATGACTATATTCTATATAATCCGGAAACAACGAAGTTAACAAAAGGTGCTCTGAAAAAAACAACAATGGTTTTTTTTTGAACATTTTGGAAATTTCAATGGTATTTTTTATACTAAAAAAACAATGGTATATTTTGAACAAATTTGAAACTTTGTTACTTTTTTAAGACATTTTTCTGTTACCTGCAGTAACAGGTTACCCACAAGACTTTATTTGAACACATGTATACTTCATTGGTATTTTGTGTATAAAAAATATACTTTAATGATATTTTGTGTACTAAAAAAAAACAATGGTCTTTTTGTACATTTTTGAAACTTCATTACCTTTTTAAATCATTTTCCCTTTTTTTGATCAATGGTTCTTCTCTAGTAATTTTTGTTATGGTTTTGGTGCCTGGTAAATTGAAAAGATTAAAATACTCTTGACGTATTTATTTTTTTTACTAGGTTAAAACCCGTGGAACCCACGGGTGTTAATTTTAAATAGAATTAAAAAATTGATTATCTAATAAAATAATACACCATTCATTTATAGTTATAATAGCAATGTATTTGTAACCTTTTACCAAATAAAAAAACAATGCACTTAAAGCTTTTATCACCGTTGGATATATAGCATCTTACTTTGAGTTATATTTCTTGCATTTAACCAAATCATGGTCTAAATGCAATATATAACAATGTACTTTTATTATTTTGTCAAATATAACATCTTACTTTGGGTTTTATTTCCTTTTTTAATTTAATTTAATTATTTTTTCTTTTTAAGCATTGTACTTTGAAAGTACAATGTTATAATTATGTATGTATTTGAATAAGTTTCCCTTTCATGCAAAATATGAAGGTGACAAAAAAACCAAAAAAATCTATAAACAAAGATGGTCCCTGTTTGAAATAATTAACCAAATTGGTTCGGTTTTAGTTTTTCTTGTACATTAATAGTAGAAATAACTTAACACAATGTATTTTATTAACTTTGATATGTTTTTAGATACTTAACTAAAATAATTAAACATATTATACAATGAGTAAATGATGCACGTTAGCTTATAAGGTAAAATGCAAAAACAGATTTTTAGAAAATCTTAACTTCTATGGTGAAACTAAAAATTTTCAACTTCAAAATTAACATCAATACTTTTAGATTTTTAGAAAATGTTGATGGAACATTAAACAAACTACAAATCCACGAATATTAAGAAACAGTTAGTGTCATAAGACTATTAAAACAAACACTTTTATTGGGTTTGATATAGGAAGTAAAATATCCAACTTCTAAATATGTTGGTCCTAGAAATTTGAGAAAAAAATTGATTTTATTTTATAACAAATATTTTATAAAGATGAAAAGTCAGTGGGTGACCGGCAAAAGTACAAAAACTGAAAGAAAAGACAAAGATACAATTATAGAATGAGTAAAGGAATGTAACAGCAAGATTTACAACTCAACAAACACTAAAAAATAGCAACAGACTTTAGAATTTGGATATTAGAGAGAATAGATCTTCAACAGCACAGAACAACAATGAACCATAGAGATTCAACCAGATGTAGAATATAGACAAATTATAACAAAGCAAATCCATAACCAAAGTTAAGTTATGTAACATCCCATTTAAAATATAATAATTAAATAATTAGTGGGGTGTTGGTTTTGGGAAATCCAAATGACAAGAATTAAATCTCTAAGGGGTTAAGGTGTAATATTGGGACTTAATTTGTAAAGAATTTCCTAAGTCAGGGGGTGTATGGTATTTTTGGGACTCAAATTGAAGAGATTTTGGAGGCTGGGGGGCTGAAAGGTAAATTTTGGACCTATATTGGAAAGGTTTTGTAGAAGGAGGGGCTGTTGGGTAAATAAAGGAGTGAATTCTAAATTAGTTCTGGGAGGAGGGACTATTTATGCTATTATGGAATAAAGTTTATTAGGGTGTCGGGTATATAAACACTCCATAACCCCAAACCCTAGAAGGGTGCATCGGCCGCCACTCGTGTTCAACAGCCGCTATCACCTCATTTCCCCCTCCTGCCCTCCGATCAAATGGAGTTTCGACGACCGCCGCCTGCTGCCTCACCACCGAGATGTCGTCACAATCATTGCTGCCGGTGACGCCATGATCGAACGAAGAGACCACCTGGACGACGTCATGGCAGCGTGTTAGCATCCTCAGATGCTCCTTCTTCTCTTTCTTCTCCTGCTCCGCCTTTCAGCCATGTCGCCATCGTCGCTAGGGCCGTCGAGCGCCGCCACCAACCGATCCTTTTGCTGCTAGTACTATTTTATCGCTGCCATCGAATGTCGTCGCTTCCGTGGTGGTAGAAGAAGAAGGAGACCGACACTGTGGTCGTGAGAGAAGTCGGTCGCATTTGCGGCTGTGGGGTTCGTCGTTGCTGTAGCCGTCGTGTAGCTATTCTCCCGTAAAGCTGCTGCCAATCGTCATGAGTCATGACTGCCAGCGCTGCTGCCGTTGCAAGTTCAGTCAACTGCCACCATGTACCACTGTGTGCGGTTGATGTCTTGGATTCCTTGCTGCCGCCACCTCCATGAGCCGTCGGGTCGGCTGGGTTTATTTCACACCAGAAGGCGTGTCAATGCGTGTGTGTGCGTGTCTAGCTGGCCGGAGTCACAAGAAGGGCCACCACCACCACCGTGAGGTGGTGGCTGCCACTCCTTACCGTCACTTGCCGCCACGAGGTGGCTGTATATTTTATTTATGTTTTTTTTTCGGGTGTGTGTGTATTGGGACATCGCGTTGTAATTTGTAATCCAACGGAATAGTAAAGAAAATCCGTCACCACCACCGTTAGGTGGTGGTTGCCGCCTCCTGCCGCCACCGGCCTCCGTGTAGGGTGACGGTGTGCTTTGATTGCGTTGGACCTCGTTTGGGGGATGTTTGGACAATGTGAGACCAATGAAACCCTAATGGGCCCAAAGAAACCCTAGTGGGCCCAATGGAACCCTAATGGGCCAATAACGCCCAATGTGACCTAAAAGCCCAACCAATGGACTAATGAACTAGTATTGGGTTGGAAAACCCTAAGGGCATAAAACCCTAACTTGTGGAAATTGAGCGGGACTCACACACGGGATTTATTTAATAAACTTGATATATTAAATAATAATCATTGGCAAACTAACTTAAGGCAATAATGGACTTAATGGATTAAGTCCTTAATGGGTTAAGTAAGAAACACTTAACCATAATCATCATTTCATGTGAATACCCTAATTTTGGGATTATGGGCTTGGACTTATCGGGACCCACATTTGGGTCATTGGAATGGAATTGTGTATTAAGCCCAATCACACCATATGACTTATTTAGTAAAGTGGGGGACTTAATGGATTAAGTCCTTAATGGGTTAAGTGAGAAACACTTAACCCTAATTGTCACTTTATACGAAACCCAAATTTCTTTTGGGCCTTTCTATTGGGCTTTGGTAATTGGATTATTAATGGGCCATCCAAGAATAATCATAAGGACTAGAATATGTTGATGGGCTTAGGGTAAGGCCCATATGAGGGTGTGGGCCCAATTTGGAAAATTGGGCCATATGTTGGCCCATTACTTGACTATTGAGCCTTTAGTGTGTGAGTTGGACTTTGGGCTTGGAACCCAATTATTAATTGGGTGTTGTTTGATGTTGACAGTTCGAGAATCTGTCAACCAGCAGCTGGAGTTTTATCGGCGGGACTTCAGCAGTGCCAGGTGAGTTCTCCTCACTATATCAACAGGGTCTAAGGCACCAAGGCCGGCCCTTTATGGATTTTATTCGGATTATTACATGTTATGCTTACTGATTTACATCCTGGTAGTTAGGATGGTGATATGCTATGCTTTAGTGACCCGGTTGGGTCGGTATCCTGGTATATAGGATGATGCTATGTTAGTGACCTGTTAGGTTGATATCCTGGTTATAGGATTGTTGCTATGCTTTGTGATATGTTAGATCGGTTTGACTGTTATATATATACATGCTAGTGTTAAATGATGTCTATGTGCACATGATTGTCCTGGTTATAGGATTATGCTATGTTAGTGACCGGTTAGGTCTGTATCCCGGTTATTGGGATGTTGCTATGATTGGTGATCTGTTAGATCGGTTTGACTGTTATATGAAACGAGCTAGCGTATGATCTTTATGTGCACATGTTTGTTTGATTGGGGGTTGGGTTGAGGCGGTCCTGCTCTGTGCTGTAGGCCAACATACCCGGCGAGCGGTCCGGATAGGCTGTAGGCCCTACGTGGCGGTCCAGACGTGCCGAAGGCTCGGAGAGCAGTCCAGATAGACTGAAGGCCTGTGAGGCGGTCCAGTCAGGCTGATGACTCATTATGCATGTTGTTCTGTATTTGTTATATGATATGGTTATATTTGTATGGCGTTGGTATTTTGGGGGTAACTCACTAAGCTTCGGGCTTACAGTTGTTGATTATGTTTCAGGTACATCAGATGATCGCAGGAAGGCAAAGGCGTGATCGTACAGCTCCTCCTATTTCATGGTTTTATGAATTGGTTATGGGAATACTCTGATGTTTAAACTATTTTGAAAACAAACTGTAATCACTCAATGGTTTTTAAATGCATTAAAAAGTTTTAAATTGGCTTGAATTTTATGGGTGTTACAAGTTACTTACAACCTCTATATCAATTACCGTGTTCCATTGAGTGAGTGATGCGTGTTTGTCTGTGCTCGTAAAACAGTAAGATAGAGACTTCAATAGTGGCATCCGTAAACAGTTGTAATCATGGAATCGGGTGATTGAAGCCGGTAGGTGGTTGTTGGTCTGGAAAAGCAAATAAATGGATGTTACCTATTTTTGTTGATAGCAAACACAATCAAATTCTCTTTCCACAACCCCTGTTCACACCAAATACAAACGTTATATCTATACCTATATTCTTTAATGAAATAAAGAATTCAGAAAACACCTTCTTCGTTTTTTACAAGAATCAAACATACCTTCAAGCCTCATGCCCTAGAATTAGAAGAAACAGAGGATTCCAACCCTAAAGACTTCACTGAACAGAAGATTAAGAATTTGAGTTTTTAAAGAGATTAAAGTCAAAAGGCTAGATGAAAAAAAAACACTTCAACTGTCACATATAAATTTTAACCATTGAAGTATCTTCAAATTGTAACAGATGCAAAAGCTTGTAGCAAAGTAATAGTGACTCGTTAGTAAAAAAGTCACTAATTACTGTAGTGAGGATGCTACTTTTGGCCATTGAAATAAGGGCATCTGGTAATTCAGGGGAAGAAAGAAATGAAGCAGCAAAAAAGTAACAGTAGGCTGTCTTCTGTCTAGCAAACTTGAGCTTGTTCAATCGATTCTCCGCCGCCCACCTTTTATAATGACATCAAGATTTATAAACTCCTTAAAAAGTTATGGGCTTTAACCGTAAATGCAAAAAATATATAATTAAAGAGGGATCACTTTAAAGCTTTAGATAATCGCCTTTCAAGATCTTTTAGTTCTCCGGGATATATAGATTAGCATGCATTAAAATCTTGCACTGCTAAATTTAGGTAATCTTCGTTGCTAATGTTTGATGAGATGGATATTCAATACAAGATTAAGGATTATGCAGTCAAAAATAAAATCTAAATTGTTTAAGACTTGAAATTAAGACTGCATATATATGTAGTTTTCAATATTCTTGTATGGTTTACATTGTAATGTTCTATATTTCTTCTAGTGAACATGCGTTCTAGATTGCCATTGAAGGGACCTTAAGAGCATCATCCACCTGTTGGGCCCAACTGATATTTACCACATACATGACACAACAACGTTCATTATATTGAGTAAAAATATAAGATTTATGAATAAGATTCAGATGAGTATGAAGTATGAAATGAACACCTGCACTCCCAAATTTGTCCAAGAGTGAAGTTAGATAACTAAGACAACCAACATTTTGATGATGCATAAAAACATAAGCCGTTGTTGACGTCTAGTTGAAAAGAGAACCATTCTTCATTTGATATTTCATCACCATGGTCCAGTCATACAAATTTCTAAGTCATTCTGAGATATATGCCAAGTATGCTTCCCTCTCATTTGAATGACATCTAAATGATGATAACAAATTAAGAATTATGAGTATATGTTATAGTAATAATAACCAACATACCTTCTTAGCTCTAATCAATGTAACATCACACTCAAATGTGTTTGGTTTAAAGGGAATTTTATATCCAAATCTTTTGCATACTCAAGCATACCAGGGAATATGATGTCAAAACCAGATGGAGATGCTTCATTTTTCTTAGTGACCAAAGCAAAATTTGACTCAATATAATGTAAACCTGCAACAAGAATCGATTGTTTATCTGGAGAATATGAACAGATTATGAAAAGGAACAAAGCACACAGCCACATACCTTTGTTAATTTGGTATTTCCTTAAGTACTCATGCTAATGTTGAAGAAAGAGTATCTTTAATTAATATGGAATGATGAGGAAGAAAACCACATGAACCATCATCGAGCTGATTATCCAGTAACCAATTCAGACAGTCATGGAAATAAGGGGACTTGGGAGAGTTTGGGTAAGGGACCATGGCTACCCCGGCTGTTTTATGAAGAAACAAAAACTCCCACATTGCTGAACAGCTTCAGTATTCATTCTCTGGTCAATCAAGGGTCTGAATACAATTTGTAGATAATATCATTTTATTATTTGAAGCAAACCAGTTAACTTGAGAAACTGAATGCAATCGGTAATACCATGACAATAGGATTAACTTGTTCATCATGTGAAGAAGCTGCAAACAAAAAACATGAATTAAGCCATAAAATGTAGATCCACAAAATGTGAATCCCAAAGATGATCAACCCAACTATGGTATAATCGACTAATTAAACGCATAAGAAAAAAGTTATATAAGTTAACAGATTAAGAATGATTTTGTGGAACAAATCATCAAATCAAGACATCTGGAAAAAAATCATCAATCAAATCAGGAGGGAAACACAACCAAAAAGAGTAGCGTGGAGGAACAGACTTAGGTTTACCGGAAGTTGTCGGAGAAGATGACCATCAATTTCTGATTTTTTGTTCTTCCATAGCCAGATATGTGTTTCGCAGAGAGAGACCAATGAAACTATTTAAGAATACAATAATCCAGAAAAAAAATTGAAGTTTCATATTAAAACATATCGAGCTTGTAATCTCAGAGCTGATGGTAGAGATTGATTGTCGGCTTTGCTCAATTTTCGATAACAAAATTAGGGTTAAAATGAATGGGTATGGAATTGTAATCATATAAATAAAGAGATTGATAAATAATTTTGGAAATGATTACCTTTAAAAATCTCTGGAATTTGAGAGCTGAGAGCTGATTTATCGTGTCACACCCCAAAACCGGAACGGCGGAATCGTTCGGGGGTGGAGGACGTCATGTACAGTATCACAACAATGTAAAGTAGTGAACAAGCAACAACATCATCCATTGCATTAATAAAATAATTTAATACAAGTGTGTTCTGTCAAGTTATATAGACACCAAAAATATAGATCAAAATAAAAGATGAGTCTTGAACGAGCTCCATCTTCTCAAAACATGGCACCGGTACCTGTCTACTGGTGACCTGAGAATACAAGTTATTTTGAAAGAGTTTATCAGCTTTAAAGCTGGTGAGATTATAAGTATATTAGTGTCTGTATTTGTATGAAAGTGTTTGTAAGTATGTAATTGTATAAGTTTGTAATTGTTTGAACTCTCCTAGAAAACCCTATGTTTCCTACTAAAAGTAGCCTTCTACCAAGGCATCTAGTATCTGTGTGTGTGTCTCTTGTAAGAGTGTGTATTTTCCCAAATCTGACTATCATTTGCCAAAAATATAGTTTTTACATTATTGTTTATTGTGTGAAGATCACAAAGTAAATGTAAAGGGAAAATGATATAGTACTGTAGTGTTGTATTAAGTAACTACTACTGTACTAACTACCTTAAATCAATTGTTATTTAAAGTACCATCTGATCTGCCTGTATCCTGCTACCGACTCTAGTAAAACGACGATGTAAGTGATGGGTTTGAGCCATAAGAACTTTCCTATGTGCACATGCAAACCCTAATGCTTGGATCTAGGTTTCTCTAATTGAACATGCAATGTTTCCAAGGCTTACAATGCTAGATCTAGAGATAACAATTGAATCATAACACATGAAATCAGATCTAGAAGAATACCTTAAGTTGCTTGCTTGAATCTTCTTGTTCTTGGAGCTTAGAGTCACAATTGTCACTCCTCTAATGGCTTACAAACACCAACTAGAAAGAGGATGATTTGGAGAGAGATGAGAGATGAGAAAATCGACTCTAGGGTTTCAATCTTACAAGAGTGGCCGATTTCCCTCACCCATAGGGTCTATTTATACTATGAGCTACTAGGGTTACATCCTTAACCCTAATTGAATAACTTAGGCCCTAAGCAATCCAAGGATCCTTCTAGATATGAGGCTTGGACGAATTTAAGATATCCTAACCCTAAAATTCGGCCACCCTAATATCCATAAGGATTCATAACCCAAAAACACAACTATCACACATTTGACAGTTTAAGCCCCTTTATTCAATTAACCTCTTTTAGTCACCAAATTAATTCCTAATTAATTTATGACTAATATTAATTAAATAATATTATTATTCCTTTAATATATTATTCTTATAACATATTAATATAATAATATCTCTTCTCTCTATATAAATCAACCTGTCAAGTTGCTATGGTGAAGGCAACCCAAAAGGACCATGCACAACCGGGTCAAGTACTTACCAAATATAGTTACGGGCTTAGACACTAATCCAACAGTCTCCCACTTGGATAAGTCTAGTAACTATAGATGCAAACACAATCCGATTAGCAATCGTAGCTCTCAAAGACGCTGTCAAACTCTGATCTTATCAGTATCCTGTCCTTCAGATAAGGGATCGTATAATCCTCTGTTCTAGATATCGTGTGGACAATTACATGGAACATGGTCATACTTATTGTCCTGCAATTGGTTTCTCGATCTCAGATTCATTTGACATAGAACTTAATTGAACACATCAATTCAGTCCTGACCGGGCCCGTCACATAAGTCAAATCAAATCATCGAGGGGCCCTGATATCGCTTTTACCCTCTTAGGATAAAAGGAACAGATAAACTTCGACTTATATGCATCTACTATCCACTAATCAAATCACACACAACAATGCGTTTTATAACATCAAGTTACTGATGCGTTTGCGCATTATCAATGCATAACCAATTAACAAACAATAAACCATATATCTAGGTTTTAAGACCATATGATATTACCATCTTGCGATCACTCGTGATAAATTCCATGAAGTGATTCCAGCAAGTGTGGGTTTATTCCAATGCTCAAATCAAGTTCATAAGCACTCATGAACGTTGTAGCAAACCTTTGCTATGTCTAATACACTTTAGACAATCTACACACCAATTCATGACAGTCTTCATTCATATCTACTTCCAACATATGAACGACTGTGGACCATTCGAATAATTCGATTATTATCAAATAACTTAATTATTCAGGAAGTCAAAACATGCAAAATGAAACAATAGGTAAAATATTAACATAAGACAGTAACATTACTAATAAATAATACTCCTTTATTTAATCATCAAATGTTAATAACAACTTATCTATTACATGTTTCCAAACTATCTAATCTAAACTAATATCGTCCTTTAGCCCAATGCTCCTAGCGTGCTGCAAATGCTTAACCCTGCTCAGTCCCTTCGTAAGCGGATCTGCTGGGTTATCTTCTGACGATACCCTCTTCACTATGAGGAGTCCTTCTTCCACCTGATGTCGAATAAAGTGATATTTTCTGTCGATATGTCGATATCTACCGTGATCTCTTGGTTCCTTGGTCAAGGCAACCGCTCCTTCATTATCACATAAAATCTCCATGGGCTCCTTTATGGCTGGCACAACGCCAAGGTCTCCAATGAAGTTTTTCAACCATATTGCCTCCTTTGACGCTTCACTTGCTGCAATGTACTCTGATTCACACGTTGAATCAGCTACAATTTCCTGCTTGGAACTCTTCCAAGTTACTGCTCCTTTATTGAGGGTAAAGACCCAGCCCGACTGCGAACGATAGTTGTCCCTGTCGGTCTGAAAACTGGCGTCGCTGTACCCTCGCACCTTTAAGTCATCACTCCCACCGAGGACTAGAAACCATTCCTTGGTCCTCCGAAGGTACTTAAGAATGTTCTTGACTACGATCCAATGCGCTCTGCCAGGGTTCCCTTGATATCTGCTGACCATGCTCAAAGCGAAGACCACATCAGGGCGAGTGCAAGTCATAACGTACATGATCGAGCCGACTGCGGAAGCGTAAGGTACTCGGCTCATTTCTGCTATCTCGACTTCAGTACTCGGACTCTGAGTCTTACTCAACTTGGCATTACTTTGAATTGGTAACTCCCCTTTCTTTGAATTCTCCATACTAAAACGTTTTAGTACCTTGTCCAAGTAAGTGTTCTGACTAAGTCCTATTAGTCTCTTACTTCTGTCTCTCACTATCCTTATTCCCAGAATATAGGAAGCCTCTCCGAGGTCCTTCATAGCGAAGCACTTCCCGAGCCAGGACTTAACCTCCTGCAGTGTCGGGATGTCGTTTCCTATGAGTAGTATGTCATCGACATACAATACGAGGAAGCTTACTACACTCCCACTGGCTTTGACATATACACAAGACTCATCTTCGCTTCGCAGAAAACCAAACTCTTTGACCTTCTCGTCGAAACAAAGATTCCATCTGTGAGACGCTTGCTGAAGTCCATAAATAGACTTCTCAAGCTTACACACTCTATTGGGATGCTTCGCATTGACAAAACCCTCTGGCTGAGCCATGTAAACATCCTCATCCAACTTCCCATTAAGGAAAGCGGTTTTGACATCCATTTTCCATATTTCATAGTCATGAAATGCAGCAATGGCCAGCATCACCCTGATAGACTTTATCTTCGCAACTAGTGAGAAGGTTTCGTCGTAGTCAACTCCAGGAGTTTGAGTGAAAACCTTCGCAACCAATCGCGCCTTATAAGTGTGCACGTTTCCATCCACGTCAGTCTTCTTCTTGAAGATCCACTTGCACCCGACCGTCTTACGACCTGGTACATTGTCAACCAAATTCCAAACTTGGTTGTCATACATGGATTGGATCTCACTATCCATAGCTTCTTTCTGATGGGTTTTGAGCATTCTAACACTTCCTAAGTGTACATGCAACCCTAATAACCTTGAATCTATGTTTTCACTATATACATGCAAATTTCTTTTCAAGGTTATTTCCTAACTAGCATGGCATGGGGATTACATAGAACATAAAACTAGTAGAGATACATACCTTGTTGTTGCTTGGATTCCTTCAAGACTTTGTGAGCCTAGCACCCCAAATGTTGTGCCTCAAATGCTTCACACAACACCACAAAACTTGGAATAACTTGAGAGAATACTTCTAGCACTCAAAATCGGTTATGCCCTCTCTAGTAACACTAGGTCATGATTTTGCTAGCCATAGGGTTCCTTTTATAGTGTTGTCACAATTAGTGTTTACACATGAATGCCCTTAATT